ACTTATTACAGGCACCAATCACATGACACCCATCACCTGACACCCACCACCTGACACCCACCACCTGACACACACCATCTTACACACAACCTTACATCAACCACCTGACACCCACCACCCACCACCTTACACCCACCACCAGACACCCATCACCTGACACCCACCATCAGACACACCACCTTACATCAACCACCTGACACCCACCACCTGACACACACCACCTTACATCAACCACCTGACACCCACCACCCACCACCAGACACACACCACCTGACACCCACCACCTGACATCCACCACCCACCACCTGACACCCACCACCAGACATCCACCACCAGACACCCACCACCTGACATCCACCACCAGACACCCACCACCTGAAACCCGCCAATCTGACTCCCACCACCTGACACCCACCACCTGACACCCACCACCTGACACCCACCACCTGACACCCACCACCTGACACCCACCACCTGACACCCACCACCTGACACCCACCAAAAGACACCCACCACCTGACACCCACCACCTGACACCCATCACCTGACACCCACTCCTGACACCCACCACCTGACAACCAACCAACTGACACCCACCACAACCCACCACCTGACACCCACCATCACCCACCACCACCCACCACCACCACCATCCACCACCACCCACCACCTGACACCCACTATCTGACACCCACCTCCTCACACCAACCACCTGACACCCACCACCTGACACCCACCACCTGACACCCACCACCACCCACCACCTGACACCCACTACCACCCACCGTGTTGAGAGCTGCCGGGCTATTGGAGACACCTTCTGAGCCGGTAGTGTCCGTAAAGAAAAAAAAATAAATATTGGTATCTAAAGTGGAATGGGGATAGTCGTCTGGTTATATTATTTATTACTAATTTTATCATAGCAGAGCTAGCTAAAAAACGTTAATATGTTTTATGCAAAATATTAGTATGTTTTTTAGTATAAATATTCTTTCATATTTAAAGCTATTTATTTCAAATCAAAAATCAAACGTATATATCTAATCATAATCAAATGAGAAAATCTATCTACATATATAAAAAGCAATGTATGTTTGTGTGTGTGTGTGTGTGTTTGTTTGTTTGTCCTTTATGCATTACTACACCTCTCATCACATAGCCGTGAAACTTTGGAAAGCTGTTGAGAATATTCCTGGGGAGGTTTCTGCGCTAAAATTTATTTCAAATTTGCAGGGGTGGCGCCCCGGCAGGGCGCGATTTGTTTTTTCTCGCGAATGATGCAAGTAGCATCTATTAAAAGAACAATGATGCAGATTGCGCCATTCACTAGAGTGACACAAATGAACAGGATTTGTTATTTAACACGTAAACAAAAATTGACGTGTTTTAAACATCAGTGTGACGGATGCAATATGTTAGCGTTAGTAATGGTCTATTCTTAGATGCTCGATCTCAATTTCTGTTTGGATTATCTAAAAATAGATATATATATATAGACGTAACTAGTGTAGTTATTAAAGACTATTGATAAGAACGCAATACAGTCTGACGCAACAGATGCAGGTGGTGTGGACTGATAACGAACACAAAGCCACTGCGTAGTTTGGGAAGCGATACGACAGAACTGCGTAGTTCATAGTTATGATGCAACGGATAGAACCGATTACGAATACAAGGGTTATAATAAGATGGCACGACGAGAAGGGAGCAGATGAGAACAGAAGTTGAAGCCTGAACTGTAAATACGTGTTTTAAGTTGGAGAATATATAGGAAGCCTGAACCATGGACACGTGTATTCTGATATGTGAGGACTAGTGAGGACAGTGGGGGTCAGTTGGTTCATTGTATTCTTGTGGAACATTGATGCATTGCTATGTGGAGCATTTCTATTGATTCATTTAATAAAGAGATAAATGTAAACCTGCACTTCCGAGTATCTGTATTGTGGTTGATGTTGTGTGCTGGTCAAAGATAGCACAAGTAAATAGGCTCGGTAACATTTGGCACTGCGAGTAAATACACTCGGTAACACATATATATATATATATATATATATATATATATATATATATATATATATATATATATATATATATATATATATATATATACCCAGGTTTTCGGTATAGGGGAGCGAAAATATAAAAAAATTTGTTACGTCCAGGTTAGTTTCAGATAAAGAACAACTCTTTGGGACTACGTTCACTACTTTTATTCCGTCTCAAATATATACATTCCAGAGTAGCACCCGTCCTAATCGCTACTAACTAACCCTTGACAATAATTCACTCTTGCTTTTATACCGCATTCGACCCTGGGTTAAAAATACATAAACACACCGGGGTTAACAATACTCTAAGGTAAACTCAACACACACGCACTCTCCCATAATTCTAGATTTTTCTAACCTATTTGTATCTAACCTACAACTGACCCGTAACACACACACACAAAATCTACAAACTTTTAAACTTAAATCCCAATTGTACTTAATTAGTAGAATCAATGTGTATCGGTCAATACCTAGGCTAATGACTAATAATGGTGTGAATGGAGTTTCTTTTATTCAAGTCTTCGGGTGGCAAAAAGGCAACGCCACCCCCCCCCCCCCTCTTCGAAACACATCAAACTTATTTCCCTCTCCCAACGAACGACATAAAATGTATATACGAAATATTAACTTCATTATATATTTTAAAGTCTCAAACACATTAATCGCATTTTCTCTTGTAGTGTTTTGTAAATAGATATTTCAAAAGTAGATATTTTAATAATATATATTAAAATACGAAATGTTAAATACATATATTATTATTTAATGAGTAGAAAATTTAAAAGAATTGTTTATCTATATTTATATGCTATTTTAATTTATATATATATATTACATATGCCTGTATATTTTTATTGTAAATTTTGAGTTGATATTTTTAAACACAAAACGTAATTTATTCACAATCATGCACAGTGCATACATACTTGTATGCAATTCAGTCACTAAAACATACATTCACTTGTCTATAATTAAGTCACCATAATATACTTTGAAGTTTCTCTACAGCTATTGGTGTAATCTAATAAAATAGACATACAATTATGTTACAGCTGTGTGTAAAATGACTGCGGTAGATGGTTATAGCATGGGGGCTGAAAAATGGTCTAACCAGATGTTTTTAAACACGGTAATCATTACATTTTTAAATTATGTAATTATAAATTTTATTTGGGAAATCATTACATTTTATGTAATTAATCAATACATTTTATTGGGATAATCATTACATTTTGTTGGGTAATTATTATATTTTATTTAGATAATCATTACATTTTATTTGAATAATCATTATATTTTGTTTATGTAATATTTACATTTTATTTGATTAATAATTGCAATGTATTTCGGTTATGATAAATTTAAATTTAAGCAATGTCAAGGAAGTGGGTAACCTATGTTAAAATAGTATTATGCAATCCTGGGCGTCTTATGGTTTGACAAGACAACTTTACCATAATGTTTAGTTAAAACTAGGTAAGAAATTTAATATATATATATATATATATATATATATATATATATATATATATATATATATATATATATATATATATATATATATATATATATATAATCTTTTCGAACCGTACAGTCAATGGAGCAGATAAAGTAGAGTTCACCTGTTTCATTGACCTCGGCATATTTTGTGATCGTATGGTCAAGACTATGTCCAGCCGCTTTTACTTTGCCTAACGTTATTATGGTACCTTAGGTGTACTCAGGGACGTCGTAGGGACGAGCCCGGGATTCGAACATGAGATTTTGAGTTAGAATTTGAACGCTCTACGAATCAACCACGCTGTCCCATAAGCAGACAAGTAGCTATTGTAATTTCCCAACACGTATCGGTTATAAACAATGCTATGATGGTCAGAATCACAATTAGTGTTGAATTAGTATTATGGTCTAAGCTTTCATAAAAATACAAACCGCGTTTAGTGCTCAGATTCAACTATGCCTACCCAAAACCCTCTCTCTTTGTCTATGCTATTTTCCTCTATGCTGTATGCTATATGATCCTCACAGGTAGAGCAGTGTACAGCGTACTGCTTAAATTCAGCAAACTGCACAAAGATTCAGTATGGAAGTGGCGTGTGCCTGTATGCCACAACCGACATACAGATCCCAGCGGTTACATATCAGAGCCGCTACTGGAGAAAGGATTGTGTCGAAGGTAGTATAGCGAGACTAAATATAAACCAGCTCTTATACCGTGCTCACACGACAAGATGTGTTTTCACTGTCGAGCTAAGTCAAAAAATGTGTTACTGTTTGTCTTTTTTTTTGTCTAATCTTTAACCTTACTGTTGTGTGCTGACGAAGACCTTGGGTCGAAACGTCCATGGTATTTGTAACTGTCTTTAACTTGTGAGGAAACTAACACTATCTGTTTTATTACTAACTGAAAAAATGTGCTAAACGGTAGTACCCCAACCCACCCCTATACATGTTCTGATAAAATTAACTTATTTTAAAAATTCTTTTGTAAATGAAGTTTAAACAAAAATATCTCAAATGTATTCTATCGGGCCTTCTAGATGAACAGAGAAATTCCAGAAAGTAAAAAAATATTTTATTTTATATTTACGGAAGCTACTACAACTACGGCACCATCAACAACCACAACAGCCGCAACTACTGTAACTACTACAGCTGCCCCAGATGTTACAACCACTCTCTCGCCAACCACAACAGCCGCAACTACTGTAACTACTACAGCTGCCCCAGATGTTACAACCACTCTCTCGCCAACCACAACAGCCGCAACTACTGTAACTACTACAGCTGCCCCAGATGTTACAACCACTCTCTCGCCAACCACAACAGCCGCAACTACTGTAACTACTACAGCTGCCCCAGATGTTACAACCACTCTCTCGCCAACCACAACAGCCGCAACTACTGTAACTACTACAGCTGCCCCAGATGTTACAACCACTCGCTCGCCAACCACATCAGCACCAGGAACGTCACCTCCCAAACCAACTAAAAAGCCGTGTATGTCATTTCAAAATCTATTTCTACAGCTACATCTTAAATTAAGAATTAATACTAATCTTACTTTTATTAACTTTCTTATTTGCTTTCATTATTTCCTCTTGTAAAAACAATTGAAAATCAAAATATTTTTATTTTAATTTCTTAAAGCGGAATGCGACAAGGTGGATTTAAGTAAAACGCGATATGGGTAAGCTAATAAATAAGAATAAAATATGTATTAACATATGGACCTATATATATATATATATATATATATATATATATATATATATATATATATATATATATATATATATATATATATATATATATATATATATATATATGTATGTATTTGAATGTGAAGGTGTTTGGTTATGCGTGTTATGTGTGCTTGCTTGACTGTATAGAAAACCATTTTGCAAGCTCCTAAATGAACGAGTCATGCGTAGCGTATTTTCAGAACTGTTTCTCTATTCAGTTTTTGACAAGCGGAATGTTTCTTTGTGTTCTGATAAAAGCTTCATGTAACCGTGGTGAGATCGGTCTAGTAAAGATATGTAGGTGGGCGACTGTACCGCTTCTTTGGCTTTTCTTGTGTTCACTTAAACATATTTATGTTAGCTTCTCTATTTAAAATATACTTTTAAAACTAAAACAATGTGCAATTTTTTCACTAGAAAGTATTAAAGCTCACATACAGAATGACTATTATAGGAGAAAGGCTTATATTATATTCACAAAGCACAAAAAAAAAATTTGCTAATTAAAAGTTGCTCTAAAAATTTTAAAAAGTAAACTTAGTTTAGTGTAACCTTACTAAACTAATATTATATGCTTGTATGACTAAAAATAAAAGCCGATGTGCTTGTTTACTTTTTACCAATTTAAGTAAATTTTAATTACTCTTTGTCAACTTCATTCAATTTAATATTCAATATTTTTGCATTGCCATCCAAGGTCTACTAGTTTGCCTTTTTTAAAACTGAATCCGACAATCGAACTTGGGTTAAATTAAAGATTCCAAGATTTGCCGAGCCACACACATTCACGTGCACGCACACACACACGCACGCACACACACACACACACACACATACTGAGCAAAATAAATACAAGCCTATAAAAATGTATGTTTTTTCCTTTACACAGGTTTTTGACTCCTCTGTTCGCTCATCGGGACTATAAGGTATTTAATATCGCCCGGCTTCCCAAAATTCAGTAGCACACCAATCTATTTTAACAATCACACATCCGCATGTTTATTCGATCAGATAATATTAAGTTTTATTTCTACCTAGAAAAAATCATCCTGGCGACACGGACGTACAAGAAACCTGACCAGACCTTAATTATGATTCATAAATCAGGTAATTCTGAATAGTTGCAAGATTAAATCTTGTTTGATAAGGTCCATATATTGTCCACATATTGAACCAGCGATAGTGTATATACTACAGTGTTACTGATGTAATCAATGCACTTTGTGATGATGTCAAGTATTACCCAATACTCACAATCCAAGAAACTATAATCACTTTACTACACACCATCCCTAATATCCTAACACTTCACATCTCCTAACTTTCCATCTCCACATATCCCCTATTAGGTCTACCCACATATTTTCATCTGCCTGGTGTTTCCCAACACCTATACCCTCCAACTTTCTTACACCACACCTACATACTCTCTCTTCTCCCCTGGAAAGTCCACATTCCTCTCGCGTCTTTCTCAACGCCTATTCGATGCCTTACCTCCCCAAAACTAGCGTCCATGATCATTGTTTCTTTCGGTTTTCTTGTCGGAGGGGCACCCCCCCCCCCCCCCCGAAGCACGTCTACCTCCCTCCCCTCCCCCAAAGGAAATATAATTTATATAGACTGTTCCAGTGTCTCCAACCCCCACCCACCTGGATAGTTTCAAATTCACCCCCGGAGAAAAAAAGTCTGAAAGAAACACTGTCCACCTTCTTTATAAACTGGAAACATCATCTAACCACCCTGAGTAAAATGTGCCAATTCGTATACAATTATTTCTGGGTGTTTTATAACGTAACACATTTGTTGCATAACAAATTTTTTTAGCTGCAGCCTTTCCTTATACGGAAACCGGCTCAGGAGTTGGGCTCCCATTAGCCAGGCAGGCCTCAGTGTAGCAAATCCCGACCACGAGAGTTTCCTACACATCAGTCGCTACTTCCTTCGGCTCTCACCGGGCTTTCCTTCCCTACCCACCAGCGGGACGTCGTCCTACCGCCTGCTACCCAGCTTAATCGTGGGGGGCGATCGGCCAGATCAAAAACCTCTAGCTGCTGTTGGCTACTACTAGCTATTCCGCACCCATTAGGGGGGGTCTTGAGCTTGGTCCGACTAATGGCACTCTTCCGAAGCCACGTGAAGGCCGCCGCTTAAAGTCAAAATATCTGGTTAGGGTCGAGAGCAGACCCCTTTTGGTTCCCGGCAGTCTTGCACCTCACCTCCCACACGCTATAATGTAGGGGACTTGGGAGTCCGACATACCAGGCTCTTCGGAGCTGCTAAATTATTTAATATACTTTGACTCAATAAGCAAAGCATTTTGCGACATTTTATTTTTAATTAAAAAATAGTAGGCAAGTGCTTTTTAACACATCTGTATACATAGGTTTGCAAAGATACTGTTCAAAAGTATAATTGTTTTTTTTTCTACTTTCAGATGAAAACGCAGACAGGTCACCTCAATGAATGTATACACTTCATCTTAAACTTTCAATCTAACCACACCTTATAATGCATGATTGACTATAGAACCAACACATTTCTGTACAGAGCCATAATGCATTTTATTTTCTCAATGGAGTCTCTCATTTTTCACTTGAATTGTTTTGAAATTTAAAACCTTATTTAGGAACTTTAAGAAAAAAAAATATTTGAAATTAAAATAAACTTTGAAAATAACCAATTCAATTGAATACTTCTTACAATTTTAGACCACTACAAATACATTAACAATATGTAGGCTATATATATATATATATATATATATATATATATATATATATATATATATATATATATATATATATATATATATATATATATATATATATATATATATATATATATAATTCTATAAAAAATAGACACACTATATATTTAAATAAAATAATCTAGGCTATATTTTGTCAATAAAAATGCTGAAGATTGTTTACTAAAACCAAATGATAAGTTTTAATAAAGTTGATTATTTTAGTGTACAGTTTTTACAAGTAAGCTTCTGTCAAAATAATTTCAGTGTTTAAATTTTAAAATAGTATCTTAATAAAACAATATTTTTTTTGTGGTTTTGTTGTCTAAGTAGTTTCAGACTTAAATTTGTGTGTAAATTTTAAAAGCATTTTCTTTTAGATCTAGTTCTGAATGGAATAAAAAAATTAAACTTTGAACAATAAATTGCGTCTTATTTTGTTTATTTTACTAAATCCAGTGTAAGTTTAATATTATATTACACTTTTATTAAAGTGTTCATAGAATAATATTGAAAAGGAAAACTGCGCAACCTAAAAATGCGCAAACATAAAAATGCACTACAATTTTGTTATACTTCATAGGAAATGTTGTATTATCCTAAATGTACATGTAGTCAATTTAAAAACAAACAACGAATGATTAATTTAAAGAAATTATATTTCCTTGAGCATTGTTTTTTTTGTGTGCTCTGGTTTCTGCTGCGGATGTTACTAGTCACCGATTGAAAGAATACAGAAAAACAGTCAATACAATATCCAGTGTGGTTTAGTTTACAAATGTTTTCTTTAATCTCAAAGTAAAATTATGGTGTTAAGGAGTGGGCAATTTGTATGTTGTTATTTAACGCGTGTGTTAAATTTGTTTTTGGTTTGTGTGTGTCTTAAAAATGTATTTCTCTTCTTTTTTTTCTCCCTCAATCTGTTTTATAGAGATTTATTTGTTTTATTACTCTTATCCCATTACTTTATGTTTCACAATGTTTACCCCAACTAAATTTTTGTAAAAACTAGTGCGCTTTGTTGTCTGTTAAGCTCACGCCTTACGAGTCACACAAACGTCTGTCAACCACTGACCCATGACAAGATGACAGTGTTTACTTAAGGCGGCGTCGGTCCAACAAGTATTGTCACGCATGAGTTGTCACGAACGACAAAACCATGACACTTCCTTTATTTGAAATTAGGTCTAGATGCTTCACTTGCCTCTTAACTGTGGGGCGGTGGGGCGGTGAAGGGGAGCGGGGGTTGACGGGGTTACATAAATATTTTAGTAGTCTCGACACAATGGTTCTGAGAGGTACTGTATAAATAAGAATAGACCAGACAGATCATATTTCGTTTTTTGGTTGGGTTTATTAGATTAACATTTTATAAATACAGTAGGCATATTCACATTTACGTGAATACATTCACGGAAACTAACTAAACAGCTAGTTTATTATAACGTTGAGACAAATATGATAACTAGTTGCTGAAAGAAGTTGCATTTAATACAGTGATTAAAATGTTGAGATATTATATAACAAAATAAAACGACGTTTTGATTTCGGATCCCGTCCAACCTGCTTTGATAGGTATCTGACCCAGTTTCCGGAGAATCGGCTGAGCATAGTAGCGACCAAACTATCTCATCGATTCATGGCAAATTATCTCAAGGCTAATTATCTCAAACAAATTAACTCACGGCAAAAAATTTTCTGGCACTCGTCAACAATTTGTGTATGCTCAATAACAAGATGGCACACCGGTTTAGCGATGGAGGCGGTGTGGTTGCATGATGGAGTGTTTGACTACTAACCCGAAAGTCAGCAGTTCGGTTCCCATACACGTCCCTGGGTCAACCCAATTCTGATGGGTACCTGACTTAAGTAAAAGTATTTGGGCATAGTGCTTGGCCTCACTATATCTTCATATGCCGAGGTCACAAAAATAGATGAACGCTACTATAAAAAGGTACGAATGGGAACTTTGTATTAATCATGAGAACTATTATATCAACAGCTTTTATGCATCAGCAAAATCATAAGCCACATAGCTTTTTTAACATGCTTTTTCTTGAATTATAATATTTTAATTTTACACCAATAAGAGAACTATACATTATTTAACTTTTATTTTTCTAATTTAAATGTTTTAGTTAAGAATAAAGGGAGATATAAGAGCCGCAAGTAAGATTATTTTAAACATTAAAAGCAAGTTTATATTTCCGTCTTACTTCCCTTTTATATAAGCTGTGAATAGAATTTTAATAGATTAAAAAATAATTGCTACTGTAGTTTTCAGACTGCGTAGCTGGATGTATTTGGAGTTTGTATAACGTCTGAGTCCACACAGCGCTATTTGGTACCTGATTCACGTTTGGTAAAGAAAGTCGGCTAGGCATAGTGCTGAACACGCTATACCCCAGTTCGTCGAGGCCATTGAAAAATTCCACTTATTCTGTTTGAGCACAAACGGGAGAAAATATTTTGTTGTATAATTAAATCTTTTTATAAAGATATAAAGTAATGCAAATAGTTACTATGCAAATATGGCAATGAATCTTATCATATTTCAAAACCATAACATACTCTATATCAGCAACAAGCCGCTTTGCATTCACACATAGACGGTGAACCCAGAAAACTCCCTTGACAAACGACATTTCCTGATCACCAACAGTTACACATGACCGGTCAGATAGCCAGATATCCCTAAATAAGCCATGGTGTGTTTTTTTTTATTGTTACTCAATATAGACATATTATAATTATTTATTTTATATTTTCACCGTTTCAGACCACCAGAGGTTTCACTGGACAGAGTTCACTGTTTCTCTGATCTCGGAAATATAAAGAGACCGTACAGTCATCACTATGTTCAGCCTTGTATATTCTCCTCCACAAGAATCACATACACATCAAAGCAACGGGGACTCGAGGGTCTTCTACTTTCTCTACTTGACACCAACGTATAATATCAGAAGTACTGAGACCACCTGTACTGTTTCTTTCAGACATTTTTTCCCGTGGGGGGGGGGGGGGGGGTTAACTTGAAAGTTTCGGGGGTAAGAGGGGTGGGACATTGGACAAATTATATATCTTCTATACAAATTATATTACGTTGTGTGTGTGTTTTATTTTTGGGGAGGGGGGGGGCATTATCCTCTTCCCCAGAAGATATACCTAAAGAAACACCAGCCCGGGTCTCTAGATCACCGCCACCTCACAACACTGTAGGGTGAAAGTATCACAAGTACTGAGATCACAACAGGACACGCTTCGCTTGACGTCAAACACCGCTGCACGCAAAGTAGCGAGTTACTCAACCGTGACATATAAACAGACACCACATGACAATGGAAACCATATTGGCTGTGAAGA